ATACAAATACTTTCAAAGTTAACCACAGAGGAGGAAGTGGTGACAGACTCTCGTGAGACTTTCAACGTTATGACTATGTTCATGAGATATTTATGTAAGCAGCCGTTTTGGGAAGAGAAATTAAATCTAAGAGATCAATGAATACTTGTTATGGAAGTGATTACTAGTTCCTTGTTGTGTGCCTTGCTTTATCTGTAGGGTCTCTTTGTGACTTTACTGAACAGATGTTTCCTGCTAATTATTTCTTTAAGAGGGCTGCCCAGTTTCAGATATTGTTTTTCTATTTATTTTCTTTTATGAATTTTGAGGTTGTAAGTTACTGCTCACAAATTATTCCAAAGTTTAAAAGTGTAAATTTGTCTTTATTAGTTAGTAAGCTGAAACCAACTGAGTTGTTGTTTTTCAAGTGTTAGAAGAAAACAACTTTTATGTATATGAAAAAAAGTTTGTATTTGTAAAAGAAAGAAAAACAACGGGATGAAGACTAATTTATAATTTGATATCATGAAATTACTTGAGAACTCTTATTTTACAGTTAAACACACAGGGATGTGAACACAGACTAACAAGCTGAGCATATTTGTTTCAACACATGTACTACAGAGAGATTAAAGGACCCATGTGCCTTAAATTTGTTGTACCTTAAATTTGTTATTCAGAGTAGTTATTCAGCATACATACTTTGCAAAAATACCATTTAGAATTTTTTCACATGTTGTTATGTTACAGTCACAGACTTCATTGTATTTCATTGAGGTTGTATGTGATAGATCAGCATAAAGTAGGATGTGGAAAAAAAATCTGAAAAACATGTCTTGCATTTAAATATAACTTATCTGAGTTGTTTTTTAGCAGAACAACTTTAGAACAGTCTCAAAAACAGCTCTCTGCTAGGAAAGGACAAAATATTAGGCTCACTAGACGCTAAAAAGGAAGGAAAAACTCTTTCCATTGTGCTGTGCTTTGGTCAATGGATTCTTTATGTAGCCAAAGGACAGAGTTCAAGCTCCCAGTTACAAATAATAAGCGTTAGAAAATTGCTCAATCTGCGTTCTCACGGGTCAGAGTTTTTAGCATGCCCTTTTCGGCCTTTTTTATTCATGAGGGAATTTTTGCTGAAAACTGAAGATGAAACAGAGTTGAGCTCAGTTTTTGTGGAGATATCTGGATTCTTTAAAAAGAAAAAAAAAACTGATATATGACAGTTTCACAGCTTCTCTTTTGTAGTCTGACTTCAGAAGTGGTGCTGGATTTATTAAAGATTTAAGATCAGACGAGTAAGTTGTAAGTTTGGATACTCACAGTCACTGCTGCTATAGGGGTCGTCCGGCCATCTGTCTGTCAGTCCAGCCTTCCAGCTAAATACTTAAATGCCCTCTGGGGAACTGGTCCTGGTATCTCGAGGTTAATGGGAGAGAAGCTAAATACACCCTGGTCAGTCCATCACAGCGAATCAAAGAAATAAACACACACATACCTAAGTTCAGTCAATTTGATTTTTATAGGACATTTCAGCAACAAGGCAGTTCAAAGTGCTTTACACAATGGAAACATAATGTAATAATATATTATTACATTATGTTGGTAATGTAACCATGATTACTCTTGGTGATTTTGGTGGTGGTATACCACCACCAAAATCACCAAGAGTATACCTCAATTATCAATATCAATATACCTCAATTATCAATATACCTCAATTATCAATATACCTCAATATACCTCAATTATCAATATCAATCAATGTCATAGTTCTTATTATTCAAAGGAAACTGTATACAAGTGGGTTTTTAGCTTTGATTTAAAAGAACTCGTTTAAGCAATTTTGCACTTTTCTGGAAGTTTGTTCCAGATTTTTGATGCAAAAAAACCCCTCTGGATTGTGGAGGTTGAAAACTACACACTTACATTATCCTGCACAGTCTTTAAAAGTGTTGAAGATAATCAGGAAAAAGTATTGTTTAGTACTGCATGATATAATGATTGATCTAAGTGAAATAGGCTACATTCTTATTTCATGCAATTTTGCAGTGTTACCTTACCTTAAATTTTTTTTAAGTTTTATTTAAAAAAAGGAGCAGATTTGCCCTTTTTTTATCTACTTGCTTTTTTATCTAAGCAAATTGCAAGTGATGTTTGTGCTTCTGTGGGCTAAAACTAAATGTAATGAACAGTAAGCAGCGCATGATGATAGCTGTGCTTAGCATCAGAAATACTGGACAACAATAAAACCGTTTCAGCTTTAGAACCTCAACACTGAGTTGTTTTCTTTTAGCTTAGCCAGTTTTTCAGATGTTTGACTCATCAGAGGGGCGTTCTGTGTGTTGTGGTTTATTCAAATTGCTCCACAAACCCCATTCACTCTCCTCTGGAGTGAGGCTCAAGCTTCTTATCTGTTTCTCACTCTCCTGCTCTGCGCAGGTAAATCTCACTCCAAATAAGGAAATTGCCTGCACTCACAGCAAAACACTTCTCACTGCTGTTTGTGATTTGTGTGTGTGTTGGGGGGTGGGGGGGGTTGTTGATGTTTACTAGTTTTACACCGTTTATTTCTCGGGTTTGCTTTTGCACAGCTAGAGACTTTAGAATTAGGAAGGAAATAATGAAAATAAATAATTTATTCCAGCAGTTCTGCTCAAAAAGTGATGTAACATAACATGCGAGACTCACATGTTATGTAGATTTGCTAAACAGAATGAAATAAAGTTTTCATAATTTGGTGATTGTTGTTTGAAGTTTATTATATTTTGGATTTACTTATTACAATTTGTATTATTGTTGTGTATTTTATGTTTTGTAAAGACCTCCTTGAAAGAGAGAAGGTGCAGTTCCACCAGGTGTTTTCTAATTGCTGCTGCCAGGTATAATTTTGATGAGGGAATGACATTATAACATATATTTTTCCATAAACAAACTTTTTCAATAATATTACAATTTTTTTTTAATAAATCTGTGCACTTGCTTTTTGTGATGACACTTATAAAGTGCCAATCTTGCTGGCGGTGGGCATTCAGCTGTCACTACTTTTGCACTGTTTGTGTGACAAGACAAGGAAGCATTCAAGTTATTTTCATTGAATTCATTTTTTCATACAATTGTAAGATCAATGTGTTTTAATGAAATAATATAAAAACAGCTGGTAAAAATGAGCAGAAACACCCTTACTGCCAATTGTTTAGCCGCAAATGGTGCAGAACTGCCTTGAAGCTTAACTGCCTTGCACAGTTTTTAATGAGATAGTTAATTTTCTTCTCTGAAAAAAATCTGGACCAGTTTGAATTCTTAGATCAAAAATGAACAAAATAATTTTTCACTGCACACGATGCAAAACGTTACTACCATATTTTCCGGACTATAGAGTGCACCATATTATAAGCCGCAGCTACAATTTTATTTAGTAATTTTTTTAAACTGGGAACGTACATATATAAGCCGCACCTGGCTATAAGCTGCTGGTATCTCCGCCGCTCTCAGTTTTCCATAAGGACGCAGCAGAGGATTGCGTCCTTAATAAATCTGCTAGATTTATTAAGGACGCCGCTTTCCATCTCCAGCATTGAACCATGGTTTCGTTCACACCGAGCTTATGTGAAGCGGCTCTATTTCCCTCCTCTAGTGCCAAATCGATAGCCTCCAACTTAAAAGCTGCGTCATATGAGTTTGAAGAAATTTCTTTGTCGTGCCTGCTGCTAGCAAGTGCTTGTTCTAAATGGAAATTAGCACTTTCTTCTTTGATTTCCAATTTTGACTTCCAATGATTCACTTCCTGCTAAAGAGCCCCCTGGTGGATGAAGAAAAATCAGCCGCACCGGGCTATAAGTCGCATATAGTTCAAAGCATGGTATCAGTCAATCAATCAATCAATCAAATTTTATTTGTATAGCACATTTCAGCAGCAAGGCATTTCAAAGGGCTTTACATAATTAAAATAAAAAAAGCATGTGAGAAAAAGATTTAAAAAACATAATTAAAATGTAAACAGTGAGAAAGAGAAATAAAAAGGGTTGCGGCTTATCTCTTGTAGCGTGCACTGTTGCATCTCAAGTGAACAGTCCAACTTTTTGTCTCTATAAAGGATAAAGTGAGTTATCACTTGGTCTGCCCACTAAAAATGCTGAATATTAATTTAACGGATTTTGAAGGTTTCATCTCAGTGGGTTATTAAAATGATCCAACAGTTTTCTGTGACTGCATTAAAAGTCTTTACAGGTTTCAAAGTAAATCAAGGACTATTCAATTAACCATAAACTTTTCTATTACCCTTGCAGATTGTGGTTTAACTGTTTAACTGCGACGAGGACACTGGTGTATTCCTGGAACCATTGTCCGACATGCAAGCATTTTTGAGAGGAGTTAAGGGGTCGATAATCTTTACATGTTTCTTCAGACTGGAAGTAATATTAAGGTTTAGACGTAGCCAGTCTGTTGAGGGAACTAAAGATTAGGGAGGTGAAGGGGAATCCTTTCAACCTCATAGACTTGGAGCTTATCTCCAAATAAAAATAATCAAAATATCTCTGGGAACAAAATACATGTGACTTAAAGGAGATATTGTTTTTATCTAAGTTACAGTGTTAGAAACAAATTTGAGTGGACATATTTTTATACCTATACTGCCAGGGGTGTGATTGTTTTTTTTTTGTCTTAGCTGATTTATCCATCCAGATTACGTCAGACGTCTTTAGAGGAGCGCATCGTTTCACCCACATAGTTGATCTCGGTTTGATTTGAAAGCTCTTCCAATGTCCTCCTAATAATATAACCCCTTTAAAAAGTTTTAATGAAAACCTGCAACAACGCAGGAGATGAATAAGTAAATACATTTAAATTATTGAATTGCTTTTGGTGGCGCTACTGGACAAACTGCTTTTCTGACTTAAAGTTGTTCATACTTAAAAAAAAAAAAAAAAAAAAAAAAAAACTTCACTTTTTAAATCACTGACACTCCCACCGTCTCTCTTCAAGCACCAGTGAAAAGTTGCAAGAGCCGCAACGAGTGTGTCTTTAAGTGCATGCGTGGAGTTCTGCTGCACCGGGTGGCTGATAGGAGGGGTTGGAGTGAGTGACGCTGGCTGCGCCTTGATGCTGAGCGGAGCGCTCACCTGCAGACGAGAGGAGCCGGGGAAAACTCGGGACAGAGCTGCAGCACACACTCACGGAGCGCAGGGTGAAACGCGGCGAACAGCCTGACCAAAGTGGGAGAGGAAATCAAACAATCACCGGGGAAGAATCGCGGAGCGACCCTCTCTTCTTTTCTCTTTCTCCTGTTCCTTGTCCAGGCAGCTTTGACTCGCTTTTTACTCGTCACAATGAGGACCGACTTCGCAGTGGTCCTGACAGCAGCTCTCCTTTTTGATTCAATTTGGGTGAGATGTCTCTCTTTTTATTTTTCGAAAGCTTGTGATAAATGATAAGAAAGTCACACAGGGAGAGAGAGAGAGAGAGGGAGCCGCTGCGGTGTGCCGCTGCAACACGAGCCGCGCTTGCTCCTTATTTTCCTACAAGTAGGCTAAGCTAATTGGTTCCCTAATGAATTTCCAACATATAACAACAAATAAAAGTGAGACCTAACAAGTCGGTCCCGTTTGTTCTGGCAGGCTTTTCCCTCAGAATTGGAGCCATTTCAGCGCTGCCGAGCAGCAGTACCCCACACAAGTTAAATTACGCACCATCTATTCACCAGGGGTATCATGGCTTCTTTACCAAAGTAATTTAGTCATCCTATCCAATTTTAATTTAGCCGTCTTCCATTGTAATGCAATCTCCTGTATAAAGTTAAACTTAGAAGTTTGTTTCTTGGTATTTAATCAATGAAACCTAAATGAAATCTCTGCCGGTGGGCTTTTTCCCTGACGGCGCTCCAAGTAGCCCCTCTTTCTCTCCCTGCTGCAGTTTCAACCCATTCAGTTTGGCTTATAGCTCATTATATTTTAATCTTCCATAGCTATAAATCGAAATTAGAAATTGCAATGCTATAATGCCTTTAATATGCACCTAACCAGCTTTTTGTTGTTGTTGTGCATGCATGCGTGTCTGTGTGTGTGTTTTGGACACATTGGCTGCTTGAGTGGGTCAGATCATTAAATTTAACCATCGCTAAGCAATAAATCTCTGGTGTAAACTTGTGTGCAGACAGTTTGATTAGTATATAAAGTGCACACACTAACAGACTTACACTCGTGCGGTGCGCAGTTCCCCATTCAGCGAGAATAAGAGGGAGAAAATGATGCTGCATTCATGCTGCTTGGTCTGCTGTGCATATGAGTCTCACTTAACCCTCAGCATAATACCCAACCCAGAGATGCAGCAATTAATGGACCAAAGATCAGGATAGATCAATATTCCCCTGATCGACTGTGATCTGTGTGTGGACGGTCAAAGACTGAAAAGTCGGATGTATTTTATACCTATAATTAAGTGAGTAAAAAAAAATTAAGAACTCACACTGTTTTCGGTGCATAAATGTAACAACTGACACAAACATTGCTGCACTTTTTTGAGTTGAATAAAAATCTGATGAATGGTAATCATTTTGTAATTTCTTTCCTGTTGTGTTTAAAGCTGCCACCTCTATCACAGAACCTTCGGTAAATAGTTTTTCATCGCTTATGTGCTAAAGCTCTCAGAATTAAAAAATCGGAAGTGGTCAGAATCGGAGAATAGACTTTTAGAGAAAAATCAATGTCGGCTGTGCATCCCTAACCTTTCTCTTTACAGTCCACAGTTTACTTTAAGGTAAAAGAAAGTAAAAGAGCACATTATACCACAAGCTACACAGTTTAAGGGACAGATCAATCAGTTGCATGCGTACCCCCCACAGAAGCAAAAAAATAAAAACCAGTTACAAAACTTGCCGATTATCTTGCTGCTCGCTGTTGTTTTATTTGTTGCATTCTCCCAAGGCACACAGCCTACAGGAACAAAAAAAAAACAATCAATAGAATCTATGTTTATTGATGTCTTATGCTGTATTTTTTCATCTTTCCAGAGGAATAATGGGGAGCACGCCTCCCAAGGTCCCTGTCGACCTGGCTTCTCGCAAAGCTTCTACTCCGTCCAGATATCGAGGGATGTACTGCAAGGCCAGGGCGTACTTAAAGGTAAGCATCTTAATTGGACTGTCAGGTGGTTTACATTTTGTCGAGGCTATTTACAGTCGAGTAAAAACACCCTATCCTTCAGATAAAACAGCAAGGTTCCCTGTTTTACTGCTAGTTTACATTTATCACGGTATTTAAGTAAAACTTGTGGCAAAGTTAAGCAAAAACTGTATCATAGCAGAAACCTGCAGAAATTCCTGAAGCTGAACATAATGTTCATAATCCGGTGTGTTCTGCAGGAGCAGCTGTTTCTTCACTCAAGGTTATTCAGTAACTATTTTGATTTAATATTAGAATGTGAAAAATACTTTACTGTTTGTTTATCTCAAAGTGTATTAGTTCAACTTTTCTCTATGCGTTTCTTTTTTTTTTTTAAGACTGCTCAGCTTTTTCCACTTCAATGCTTTTTTTTTTTTTGTCATCATCCATATTTCACTTATTGTGACCTTCACACTACAATATCTCACCAAGTTTTATGCGAATTGCCTCAATTACACAACGAGCTGAGCAAGTTTGAGGACCCGATAGTGCAGGAAATGGAATCGACATCCTGTGTCTAATCTGGCAGTGCTCCTGCCAATGTGAGCTAATTGCAATTCTCTATTGATCCAAATGTTTTTTTTTTTTTTTTTTTCTCTCATAGCTCAAGCTGCATTGTTTTGCTGTGGGCAACAATGGCTCTTTTTTGTGTCTTCTGTGTCTCCGGCAGCTGCACGGTTTATATTTCTCACTCTCCTTAGCTGTGAGAGACTTGGCAGAGATTCATCTGTTGAGACTATGTCCTGACTTTGCCCATGCACACACCCACGCCCACAGACAAAGGCGCACGCACCCACACACACGCACACGCACGCACACACACACACGCACACGCACGCACACACACGCACACACACACACACACACACGCGCTGAATATTTTTCCGTTGCCAGGCTGTACAGTCAGTCTCGGTGAATTGCAATATATTTTTTGCATTACTTTGTTGAACGTGTCCTTACATGTGTTTGTTTGTTGTGACATTATAGTGGTGGAGGTATCATCGCTTATTTTAGTGTTTCATTAACTTCAGCTTATTGCATCCTGGCTGGGTGTGGGATTGGATGTGGGATGTTGTCACTTGCAGTGGGCTTGCTCTAAGTGCGGTAGTGATGTCTTCAGCCCAGCAGGGGGTGTCAACACAATCACAAATAGTCACAGAATGAGCTATCCCTGCTGCACAGGAGTCGTTTATTCCAGCAAGCATTATTTATCTAGTTTGGTCTCCGGGAGATGAAATTGTCACACTATCTGCCTTCACACATAAACTAATCTTTGGTAGGCCTAACATGCTTATTTTCAGGTTCCTGTGTGTAGCTGCACAGAAAGTACAGAGTGTAAGTCACACTAAAAGGCAGTTTCAAGTCTGAACCTCTTGTGAATTGTAGTATATTGTCTTACAAAAGTATTTATCACCCGTCTGGACTTCTCTATATGTTGTAACAGAATACCAAAAAGAAAAGAGTTTTCGGTGTGTGCCAACACATAGTAACGCTCAAATCTGCAGCTGAAGAAAACGGATAAAGAAATTACGTTTTCCCCAAGGTTTTACAGATAAAATACAAGTGTGACATGTATCCGTTTTCATCCCTCCGAATCAATAATTTGGAGAACGTTTGGGGCACGTGTCTTCCAGATTTACATAGATACTAACATGTTTGTCCGCTCTTTATCTCAGCCCCAGGTAAATTAAATGGAGAGGTTTTGCCACAAATTCCCATTAGAATTTAGGTCTAGCATTTGACTGGGATGTTTTATTCAATGAATAGGATTTGATCTAAAGTAATTGTCTGCTGATCTTTTGTAGCTCTGGATCTATGTTTATAGTCATTATCCTTCTGGGAGGAGTCTTAATTCTTTTCCTGCCTCTGATCAGTTTAACTTCCAAAAATGCGATATATTGACCTTCATCCCAGCCCTTGTCCGTGCAGAGGAGATGCTTCCCACAGCATAAGGCTGCCACTTTTCACTGTGGCGGTGGTCAGAGTGATATGTATCAAAGTTTGTTTTTGGTTTCTTCCTTTAACTGTATTTGTCATTTTGCCTCTTTTCTACTGAGGACAGATTTCTAGAGTGCAGTCCTCATAGTTTTACTGTTGACAAATTCTTCCACATGAACTCTGAATATGGCTTATCTGATTGATGTCGTCTCTTCCCCACCTGTCAGTTTATCGAACTGCCATGTCTTGGTAGATTTGCTGCTGTGCCACACTCTCTCCATGTTTGGAGGATGTCTTAAAACACTGATTTGTGAGATGTTCAAAGCTTAGGATATTGTTTTATAACTTTACTCTACTTTAAACTTATTTGCAAATTTATCCCTGACCTGACTGCAGTGTTCCTCTGTCTTCGTGATGGTTTTTTTTTCTCTTCTTTTTGCAAATGTTTGCATTGTTGTTTTGAAAATAGCTAAATATTACCGACAATGTTTCTTTAGATCACGGCTAAAATGGATTTTTTTTTTTTTTTTTTTGCTTAGCATTTTTCATTTGTTTTGTCCCTTCTGCTTGAAAAGTTCAATTCCTCGCAGCCTCACAGCTGCACTGTCATCTTCATTTGTGTCTGAGAGCACAGATGCTGTGGACACGCACCCACACATTCAGCCTATGAAATAGCCAGACTTTCTGTGTGATTTACAGAGCTTAGGCGTTTTGATTCATACACGAGAGGGGTGTCACTGTAGTAAAGCAGGAAGTGGCTCCGCAAAGGCTTTAATAATAACGTTGTTTAACCCAAAACTGTCAGATGAGGGAAGGACTGATGACACCCCACTCTTGCACACACACCCGTGCACAAACATAAATATATTCATGTTAGCCACGAGGGGTAATAATGGAAAGGACAGAACTAGGACCTTGGTCATGATGGGTAGCTTGGCCTGGTCTAGACAGGAGGTCAGCAGAAAGGAGGACAGTGTAATGTTTCACTCTGATGTGCCTGATTTACCTAAAAACATAAAAATACTGGCTACCTTCGGCAAATACCGTAAGTCTACAGAGCTATTGTTGCAAAGTCAAATTTCCATGCACTATATATATATCTTTTTTTCTCGGAAAGAACAGCTTCCCCCTTTCATTGTTGTGTTTTATCTTCTATTTCAATGCCGCTCTACTCTGCTCACTGATCATTTGCAAGGTCAACTCCCTAATGAGCAATTTTGAAAAGTTTCTCACAATGCTGTTTTGTATTAATCCTCTTTCAAGTGAACAATAGTGCTAATTTAGACGAGTCTAAAACTGCTTTTTTTTTAACTGTCTGGCACCTTTTCAAAAGTGCTCAGAAACTTTTCACTCTTCAGTGGAGCCTGTTAAATGGAGCTTGAGTTATCTACTCAAATAGTCTGTGCTGTTTCAATATACGGATTCAGATCAAGAAACTAGGAAAATGCATTTATTTCGGATATTCTATTCAAAAGTGAAATATGGAATCATTACACGTACGATGTTACATTTCACAAATTTTCTTCACATTTGTCATATTTCATGTTTAATATAGATTTTTAAAATAATTTTATAGTTTTACTGTGGTTCTGCTATAGCCTACACAATCATGCTGTATTAAGATGAACTTAAGAGAAAGTTGAGTGGAAGAAAAAAAAAAACTCTGGTATAAAGGATTTACAAGCAACGCCAAAACGCAGCCTTGAAGAGATTATGAAGCCAAACCTATTCATGAGTTTGTAGGAGATTTACAATGTTGGTGCAGTATGACTGTAGTCAGTGTTTAAAGAGCAACCACACAGAGACGTAGCTGGACTTCAGATTCATTTTCTTAAAAGTCTTTTTTGTACCAAAGATGATGCCAGAAAAGTCTTAGCTGAGCCAAAGAGAAGAAGGTCACGAGTCTTCTTTTCTGATTAAATACATTTTTTTTATTTGAATTGGAAATCAAAATTAACCAAATAAAATGTTACTCTATATTTAAGGAATCCAAGTTATTGATAATTACAGAATTAAAGGTTTAATGCTGCTCTACAGTGACATGAGTCATGAGTTTTCATAAGAAAACTCATGGCAAATGAGATTACCAACTGAAATGATTATTTGCATTTCCATAGAGAGAACAGTTTATGTTAAAGATAACCTGGAAGGCTCGAACTGCTCTTCATCCTTTTGCACAGCCAGTAGACATTATCTCTAAAATATTTTTTATTATATAACATATAGCCTGCTTTTGCATAAAATTACGTTTTGCTTTATTTTATAATAGTTTTTTTTTTTTTCCATTGTGAGGTTGCCAAGTATAGATTAATAATCTGCAGAGTTTACAGGGAATTTTAATGACTTCTTACGGCATTTCATTACTCTTCAAGAGAAATTACTTTTATTTTAAATTATTGGGGGAAAAACAGAGTAACAGCTAAACTCAACTGTATAGTTAAAACTAACAAAGGAAATACCATTTTGCCAAATATCAAACTAAATAAAAATGTGATGAATTTGGCAAAATTGTGGGCAGTAATAGCACAAATCCTTTCTGTTCAGGAGTCAGAGAATCCGTCGGCTGTAAACGCTCTCTTGTATTATTCCCACGTTGCGTAGACGATTGCAAAGTTGTACATTATACTAAGCAGCTTGGGGAGCGTGTTCGCTTCTGCGATCAGCTGCAGGGGCTCTGGGGTCGTCCGAAGCACAGAGCTGGTGTTCGTTATCAGTTCTTTCAGCTTCTTTGTGCGAGTAGCTCAGATTCTGTACACACATAAAGAAAACAGCACTCTCCACTTCAAATTTATAGAATATCCTCAGAATCTTGCACGTATTCATATATACACAAACTTGCACATATTCAAAAAATAAAATTTTCTGTACTCCTCCTTTGAAAAAACCCTCGATGATTCATTTCTTATCTAGCCTCCAGGTAAACAACAAATTCTTCAACTTAGCTCTGTAATAGATTTTAAGTATGAGGAAGCTTCAGTGCAAGTCTTTGTCTGCCGGTTGTTAGTAATGGTAATGGTCGCGAT